GGAAGCATTGCTGCATGTTATGCCTGCCATGCCACCTGAGAATGTCAGAGAGGTGTTCTCACATGCTGGGCCAACAAACATGCTGGCCGTGTTTTGCTAAGACTGAAGGCCATGTTTGCTAAGACTTTCAGGCCACCTTTTCCTGAGTTTGTCCTGGCTTCTATTTTCCTCATATTTTGACATGTATGTGGGAGAAATGTGAGGCTAAGTCTGGATTTACCTCTCCCATGCAAGACTCTGTCTTTCTGCTTGGCTGCCCCAGAGAGTTCTCTTCCTGTGTCTCTACTTCTGCTTTATCTATTGTATCTTTGCCGTCAGTTGGGGATGCCAGCCATTTTCCTCGGTTACCCTGGGTCTTTTCTACCATGACAAACTCTCTTGATTTTTGTTATTTCCTAGAAAATTTAAACTCTTTATCTTCTTTTCACCATGGCCTCTCTGTGTACTCAGGAATTTATCACCGCCTCTTTCCATAAACCAAACCAGGCCCAGGAGGCCGGCCACCTGTTGCTTACCTCCCCTTCCTGGATGTGAGCCATTTCCTTCCTTTAGAGGTAGTATTTTCTTCCTCCTGCAGGACTCTGCCTCCACAGGCTCCTTTCTGATTCTAACTGCTTGGGTTGTTACCTTCCTTCTGGAGGTTAGAGCTTTTAACTGTCTCCTGAGTTTCATCAACAAAATGAGAGAACAAATAGTTTTTTTGTCCAGTTCTCCTCTTTCTTCCCCCTCAAGTTGTTCTAGGCTGATCCGAGGTCGCTGCTTTTCCACCTTCTTCTTTCTTCTCCATGGTAATTAAATCTTTGAAAAGGGTTCTGTGGCTCATTTTCATGGACAACTTCAGAGGAGCAGGTGGACTGCAGGCTCTGCCACCTCACAGCCAGCCTTGGAGGAGAATGGTCCACATAGAATACTGAAAGCAAATTTAAAAAAAGGGGGGGAAAAGAAGGAACATGAGCAAACCCCCCCAGCTCCCTGGTACATAGGAGAAGATGGGTGAGTTTATAATGGATTTAACTCTTGAAAGAGTGAATATGAAAGCTTCAGGATGAAATCCAAATATCATAATTTCAGCATTTAAGAAATGTCCATCCTAACTAGTGACCTAGGCAGAGGAAAATATGTACATGTGTGGTACAAATTCATGTTGTATACAGTAAGAGTATGAGGTGTACTTTCAAGAGTCTAAAGGAGGAACAATTAAAAGAGAATTGCGACCTGGGATTATAGTATTTTAGATGCTACTGAATCTGTGGTTTTAGAATAAAACATATACGCTAATTTCTTTTAAGGAGGCAGAGATCGAAGCAGAGTATTTTCAAAGATGCTACAGTATATGGCGTTGTGCTGTCTTAGAAGTTCTGAAATCAAGGTTCAATGTGCTGCTTTCCTCTCCTTACCTACTGCCAGCTCAAAGGCCAGGAACTACTACGCTTGTTGAATTTAATAAAGTAAATGTGAGTCTCAAGAATTCAGAATGTTAGTAAATAAAGCTTAGTACTCATATAGTATAAATATTGAGATGCTCAGAATAGTAGTCACTTGTACTAAAATAGTAAAACTTGAAAAGTTACGCATATAAGTGAATCTACAACAAAGCAAGAATTTTAAAATGACAATTTCTGCAAAAAAATACTCTACGAATCTCTTTGCTCGGATAGAAAATTTGGCCAATGAGTATCCTCTTCAAAGGAAAAGGCAAAGAATGGAAGCTCTGATGAAGATAGTTTTAAAAAAATGTATTTACAATCAGTTTTTAAACAGCATCTGGGAAATGGAAATTCCTCTCCCTAAATCCCTTTGGGGGCAATACATTTGAATCAGGAAGAACATCCTGCCTCTACACGTTCAAATGTGAGCCTTTTTACAGGCATCCCCAACATTACAAAGCAGGTAGAGGAGAGGGACAATTTCTAACCCGTCTGCCTGAAGAGCAGCCAGTATCTGATTTCTTCTTTCTATCTCTGCTAGACATATATGCAAAAGCTTCTGGTAAAATGAAACCAGGTGTTCCCAAAGTATGGGTTTTAGTTGACAGTATTGCTAACTGGAGCTTTTCCTGTGAAATGAAACTACCAGAACCCTTCAAAACATCACTGACTTGTTTACTAAACCACAGGTTTATGCTCCGTTTGGAAATGTTAACAGATGGAACCCATGAGCCTTTATTAAAAACGTGATGACCATGGATGCCTGAAGCATAGCAACAGAGGACTCAACTGCAAAGGTTCCCTCTCTGAAAGAGGGATGGGTTTGACAACCCCAGCATGCTAAAGTCCTAAAACGCTGGACTGTATTTTCCATAAAAGGTGGGAGTTTGGCTGGTAGGCTATAGCAGACACCAGCCCATCATAGAAGCAGATGGAACCCACCAACTATTTACCCAGACCTCCAAAAAAGGTAATACAGAACTGTCTGTGCTTGCCAAAGCAGGGTAATCTGAAGGGTGAATCTAAGAAACGTTTCACGATTAATATGGTGGCTTCATGTGCCTACTAGAGCCCCCAATAACTGGATCTGAAAAATGAAAAAGCAATTTGAAAGCTCCATTCTCCATACTGTTGACACACACACACACACACACACACACACAATAACACACAATAACACACACACAATGGTCAAATTTACTTTTATAAAATATAAAATGACTCAGTAACTATTCCATATCAGGCCCTTCTAGAAGGAAAGTTAGCTGGAAACATTCCCCTGCTTATAAAATAGTTCAATTAGGATCAGGTAAGATTCCATTTTGTAACAGCCGGAACTTTAAAAGTCATTAATGGTGCAACATTCACTCATTAGGCATAAAGGTCTCCTCACAATGAAAAGCATTACGAATTGCCAGGACGACAACTTTACAGTAAGAAGTTGGAGCCAAGGTCCGGCGAACTCCTAGAAAGTTCTATCAGTTCTAGAAGAGAGCTCACCATCTCCAATTCACTGTAGCCTAAACTTAGCTGTCACCTCATTCTCAATCCTCAATATGAAAAAAAAAAAAGTATCGCTAATGCAGATTTTTTTTTTTTAATAAAAAAATAAAAGATGGGGCAAAAGGGTCAACAGCAGGCAAAGCTCATGGGTTGAAATGATTCTACTAGATTGGGGGGAGGGGAGGAGTCTTGGATGTTTTATTCTTGGCAAGGAAAGTTAATTCTCCAGAACCTGGCAGGTGTACCATCAAATGGCACTAACACAGGAATAATTGGTGGAAATCAATGATTTGTCCATGCTAATAGATTGTGTGTGCTGGTGGGGAGCAAGATGGGGAGGATTGGAGGAGGGAGAATGGGAAGGTGTGGAATAGGGGATGGGAGCAAGAGGATGACAAGGGGGCCGGGGAAGGTGTGACTGTTAAGAGGAGTGTGTGGATGACTATGGACGTGAGGGGAGGCAGGTGGAGGAGGAGGGTACGTCCAGAAAAGGCCTGGAAAAGCTGGGGGGGGGGGGGTGGGGTGGGGGTGCGGGAGGCAGGGACCGCTATGAGTGGGGAAGGTGCGGTGGAGGGATGGCTGGCCATCGGCCCCCCCAGAAGCAGCAAACGAAGGCAGGCTGAAGAGGGGTGGTCTCCGCCCAGGCTCTCCAATCCACCTTCTGTGGGCGCAGCGCGTATGCAAGGGCCAGGGCCACCAGGCCGCAGGTTACCACTCACCCCAATGACTCCTGAGTTGTGTAGGTTCCTGGCTTCCACGGGGTCCGCCACTGCCCTCACAGCAGTCGGCCCGGCTGCCTGCGGTCTGCCCCTCCGGCTGGGTTGCAGCAGGTCAGAAGCTGAGTCCGTAGGTGTTATCTTATTATCGCGGCCTTTGTTGTTGCTGCCTGAGGTTGAACCAGTGGTCTGGGCGGCAGGGGACGGCGGCGGAGGAGTGGGGACTGAGGACACGGGAGGGGATCGGGGACGCTGAGGAGGCTCATGGCAGCCCGAGGGGCCCAGGCGTCATATTGGTGGTATTGTTGTTGTGGCTGGCTCGTCCCAGGGGTCCCGCTGTTCGGCGGATTGCGCGTGGTCGTTCAGCGCAGGCGCCCCCGAGCGGTACATGCCGGCTGGCCGGGTTGGCCGGGGCTGGGGCCGCCGCCCTGACTGGCTGGTGAAAGCTGTTGCTGCTGCTCCCCCTGCCGGTGGTCAGTTGCTGGTGCCGCCGCTGCCGCCGCTCATGCCGTCGCTGCTGTGACAGTGGTGGCCAGCGAGGCCCCTCAGCCCGTCTCCTCCCCCCAGATCTGCATCCACAGATCATTGGATCTGTATCCCGGAGCTGCCCTGGCTGGAACCAGGCGATCCTCGATTCACGCCAAAACGGCGGCGGCCGCTGCCCTGCCCTCCCCGCCGTCTGGAAAGTCGCTGCCTGGCTGCGCCCTCAGGCGCACGCCCTCACCTCGGCGGCTGCTGCTGCTGCTGCTGCTGCTGTTGCCAGCATTGCTGCTCGGGGGTCTGCTGCGGCGGCGGCATCGCGCAGGGAGGCTCGGCTGGCCGGCGCCGGCGGCGTGCCGCTGCTCCCGCTTGGGCTCCGGTGGGCTCCACCCCCTCCTCTGTCTGCCCCTCTTCGTGGGGTTGAGCTCCCCCTGTCACTGGGGTCCCGCAAATGGCGGCGGCGCAGGTTCTGGAGTAGGGCAAGTGGCAGCGGCGGCGGCGGCGGCGGCGGCGGCAGCAGCGGCGGCGGCGGCGGCAGGACGCGCCTGCTCCGTAGCGTCCTCGCTCCGGGTGGGGCTCCTCCGCCCGCTCCGCCCACCCGTCTGCCCCCTGCCGCGCGCCGCGTCGCCGCGCGTCAAGTGCCGTCTGGCTAGCCCCTGGCGGTCGGCGGGGCCTGGCTGAGGCCGGGGAAAGTGGCAGGCGTGAGTGGGGTTGCAACTGCCCGGACCTAACTGTCCCTGTGTGGCTCCTGAGGGGCTGCCCGTACCAGGGGGCGCCCGTGAAGCGTGCCGCTCCTCGGAGCCGGTCTGAGGACTGGCGAGGCCGATTTGACACCGGAAGCTCCGCAGGGGAATGGATTGTGGGAGGCACTGCCCCCCTCGTCGTCCCCCTCCCCCACCCAGGGCTCCCTGGTACTGTGTTCTCTCTCTCCTCTCTCCTGCAACGCCTCCCCCTGCGACCCTTCCGAGAACTCCGCCTCCCAAGTCGGGTTGTCTGGGCCTGGGCGGGGGGGAGGAAGATGTGCTCCACCCCTGAGCATGTGGACCCTGCGTGACGCGGCTGCGCGGGCTCCCCCACCGGTCCCCGCGCCATGCGTGCAGCACCAGGCCCTGGCGGAGCTTCCCTCCCGCCCCGGCTTAGACTGAGACCTGGTGCCGCCCGCATGGATGTGGTCGCGCATCTTCGTTGGGTCTGTAAAGCCAGGGCTCAGAACCACCGTCACACACCCAAAACCTTGCTCAGACACACATACACCACGCAGAAGCGCACAGCTGCACAGGCATGGTGATCAAGGCACATACGTTCGGCGTGTAAAGAATTTCCTAATTTCACATCAGTGCACCGGCAGCCATAGAAAGCCTCCTCGGTTCAGTGAATTAACTTAAAAAAAACAACCCCCAAACTTTAAGCTCAATATCGTTGGCATCAGTAGAGATTTTCCACAAAGTGAAAGCATTTGCATGTCTTCCCAACTCCTGTGGGTAAAAACTACAAGGAAAAAGGGAAGAAATTTTTGGCATTTTAACATGAGAAAAGTTAAGTGAGCAGCGTTCTGTGTGTCTCTCCATATCCAAAGTCCAGGAAGGAGTCCCTTGATGCCTGATTTGACCTTCTATTTTGGGAGTCAATATCCTGGTGCCATTGTTAAAAATTTAACGTTTATTTATTTTTTAAGAGACAGCGGAGTGGGGAGGAGGAGGAGAGAGAGGAGACACGGAATCAAGCAGGTTCACTTCTGATGTTGTCAGCACAAAGCCCAACACAGGGTCGAACTCAGGAGCCAAGGAGATCATGACCCGCGTAGGCTCTTAACCGACTGAGCCAGACAGGTGCCCCCAATATCCTGGAAAGTTTTATTATTGTTGTTGATCATGTTGTTGTTGTAGTTTGGCAAAAGATGAAAAAGTATTTGTCAAATTATAAAGCACTGTTTCAATTCGCTTTTTCTTTTGTTGGAGAGAATAACATACCCTCCAAAAAAAAAACCACTGGTTGTTGATTTACTACGACAGTAGTTAAAAGTGTTCTCAGAATGAAATTTTACATATACAGACATAATAATTTCAAAGCCAGGAAAATAAGTAGTGGCATTTTTTAGGTTATACCTATCGACAAATGATATAAAATAAAGATTTTAGAACAGGTTTGTTTTGACAACTTCAAATTTGTTTAAAATCAACTGCAGTGTCGAAAAGCTGAAAAATAAGCATTATCAAGGTCCCACTGTCTAGATATAATCACCTTGAAGACTTTGTTAAACATTTGCAAATTTCCCACATGTTACATGACAAGATAGCTGCTTTTTATTTTTGTTTATTTTACATTATCTAGTCTTTAAAATATTTTTTTTCAGGCATCCAAGAACACATTAAATGCCACTGATATCTAAGCAAGAAAGCATTCAAACTAAGTGTTCATGTCAGAAATTAATATTTGTTATATTCTGAAAGCTCATTTCTTTAGACAAACAAGAACTACTAAAGTTTTGGCAAATGATCAAATGATAATATAATAAAAGAACTAGAAGTGTGTAGCTGGAGGAGGCAAGATATCATTTGTTCACTAGAATGTCATTAGCCCCATAACAACATGAATCCATGTGTTTGTATCTATCTAGTAAATCTTGGTTGAATGTCTATCTTCCATGCAGAAACTGGCTTAATTGTTTTAGAGAGGATCAAAAGCACCAGGGTCTTGGCTGCCTTCCCCATGAATTTAATTGTCTGGTTACATGGATATGGAAAAAAAGCTGCAACATTCAAAGCTTCCAAACTGCAATTTATTCAATTAATTTCAACAACATGTCTTGAGTTAAATTCAACAAAGTGCTGGGGATACAGCAAATGAACAATACTGATGATGTTCCTGCCTTTCATGCACTTTACTTTCTAGGGAAGGCAAAGCGCTACATAAAGTCAAAAGACAGTGATAAGTGTTATGAAGAAAAAGAAAGCCAAAAGGGATATGACAGTGCTAGCTTTTTGATAGCTGACTAGGGAAGGCTGCTCTGAGGAAGTGATATTTGAGCAGGACTTAAATGAGGCAGTGGCCATGACCATCTAGGAATGATCCACCAGGCGTCAGCAATAACAAGTGCAAAGGAGGCAGGTATGTACTTTAGTGCAAGATGGCAGAAATGCTGATAAAGCTTGTCGTATGCCATGCTATAAAATTGTAATGAATGTTGAATGTACCATGGTATAGAATTATAGCATCTCTATGAAGTTTCCTCAAAATCATCCAGTTTAAAGTAAAAAACAGAAGGAATATTATATACACAAAACAAACAACAAATCTGTGTGTTTTGTTCTCAAATAATCGCGTCTGCATCCAAAGAGATAGACGCTATCTAATTAATTTCAATAATAAATTTTTGATTACTCCAACTTTTCATTTTGCTATTTAGAACAAAAAGAACAGACACTTATTACAGTCTTTAGTAAAACCATCTGCATTAAATTGATGAGCCAAAAACACAGCTATCAAAGTGTAAACCCAGACATTTTGCTCCATAACGCAATGTCCTATTCATTCTCAGTAATTTTATTCTAGGGGAAAATGTTGAGTCGATGGTTTCCTCAACTTGAAAAGATTCATCAAGTTTCGTAGAGTCAAACTGAGTGGAAAATGAGAAGAGCCAGTTATCACAAAATTTAAATATGATTCTCATTGATTTATCAACTGATAAACTGAAGGGGAAAATTTCATAATACATACATACTACTAATGCACGGTATTGTTAATAATTATCATTATAATTAAATCTTAGGCAGTATAAAATTTAAGTATTACTTCTCAGAGTTAACAAGAACCAACAGTAAGTCATAAATTATTAGTATTTCAGCTTGGGGTTCATGACGATTTAGGTGTTACATTACCTGGTTTAGGCCCCATTTACTTCTAATCTTCCTTTTGCACACACAATATACATCATTGTACCATGTTTTTTTCTCCTTCATGGTCACAAACAGGATTTCAAGTGCAGGAGAATCTGTTTCTATTATATTTCAAAATAATAGGTAATGTGGGAAGCCCGTGTCTTGTTCCAGACAATCAAAAATTTCTTTCTTTTTTTGCTTTTTTTTTTTTTTTTTGATGTGGGGGAGCAGTGGGGGAGGGGAGGAGGGGAGAGGCAGGAGAGAGGGAGAGAGAGAGAATCCCAAGCAGGCTCCCTGCTGACAGCCCCGAGCTCAACGTGGAGCCCCATGGGGCTCAAACCCAGGAATGGTGAGATCATGACCCACAAAAAAAAACCAAGAGTCAGATGCTTGACCAACTGAGCCTCATCCAGGTGCACCCCAGTCAGAATCTCTTCTATAGAGAAACAAAATTGCCTGCTCTGTGCCATCCCATCTTGGGAGTGTGTGTGGCATGTGTATGTGTGTGCAGTATGTTTGGCAGCTTTTATATATAATTTACAATATAAAATTCACCCATGAAGTGTACAATTTAATGAATCATTTAGTGAATTTACAGACTATGCAGCCATTGCCACAATTCGATCTTGGAAATGTTTCAACCCCAAAAAGATTGTGGGTCTATTTGTAGTCAATCCATTTTCTCAACCTCTATGCCCAGAAATATTAATCTACTTTCTATTTCTTATAGATTTGCCTTCAACTCCATTTTGGTTGGTGCTTTTACAGAATTTGACTTTACAGTGCTAAAGCACCACAGAGAATTGTTTGCCTAGCCTAATGGCAACTAAAAACAAACAAAATCAGAATTTCTGACCAATCTGTAAAAATTCCATATTTTCCAGATTCAAGTTTATACAAGGCTGGTAAGCAGCTCCTTCCAACCATCTTTCCTATTGTAAATGAAATAGTATCCTGGCTGAGCTTTGCAAAAGCAGGCTGTCCCTGACAGCCATTCTCCAGAGAGGAAGCTCCAGAAACTCAGCCAAGATCCAGCACTCAAACAACCCTTTGCATTCTACCATTTCTTTTAACATATCACTGCTGTGGGAGAGAATAAGGGGGGATAAGGGGTGGTCTTGTCAAGAAGGTAGTCACCTGGCCAACTGCTTTTTGTCAACTGTCATTGAGAGTCAAGCAGAGAAATTCCATTACTTTTAAAGACAAAGGCATGCATAACCATCAAAATCTCACCTTTAACATATTCTTCTGCCAGAAATGACAGGATAACTTGGAAATGTGTCCAGACCTTTCTCCTCCAAAAAAAAAAGTTATTTGGTATGACATTATTAATTAATGTATCAATCTCTGACTGTCAAGTATTGAGTGCCCAGATTAAACATTTTTTCCAGGTGTGTCTGCAAGGACAAGTTCTGGAACAGTATTTGAATGTGTGGTGGA